TTGTTTGTTTTATTTATCATTTATTATATTTTAAATGATTATTTTCATTTTGAGTTGTGCTATAGCCTATATAAAGCCTACAAAACTAGCCTATTCGGTCAGTCTTGTAGGCTTTTAAAATATTTTTCTTCCATTTTATCTTTCGTCAATAATTTGGTTACATTGACAGCAACGGTGAGAACATCTCCAATAATTTAGTAATGTTAGGGGACAAAAAATAACAAAGAAAAGAAAACCAAGACGAAAAGAGGATGTCATTATTAATTGGTGAAAATGAAGGGAAAGAGAAAGGAAAAGAAAAAGAAAGGGAACGGAAAGGAGTAGGAAGGAGATTTCTCTTCACCCATCAATTAATTTAATTATATCCAAATGTAAGTATAAAAAATAATAATAATAATAATATTTTTTAAAAAAAATAATAATAATAATAAATAAATAAAATATTGAGAAAATGTAAAGATGTACCTTCTTAGTACCATCCTTTAGTTCCGTAAGGAGCACTCCAAAAGTACAACAATGAAAGAGAGGAAAGTTAATTCTTTCAATTCAGTGTAGAGAGACAAACACGAGCCCACAAGCTTACCCAATTTGACAATTCTAATTTCCCAAACACTACCCTCAATCAATTCCTCCAAGTCACTTCTAATTTCATATCTGAATTCAATTTCACATGCATCAAAATCAAGGTGACATTAAAAATAAAAAAAAATAAATAGACATTCATTAATAACCCATTTTTGGGTCACATGAACAGGAGTATAATATATAATTGATATAGCAGTGGTTGCATTGTTCAATCTCAAATTAATTAAGCTTTCACATTACCATAAATTCTGATTCTCAATCACATATTATAAATACACATGGTTTTAATAGCTAGGACGAATTATCCCTTTCTCGGGCCCTCACATTTAAAGAATCTCTCTCTACTTTCTCTCTCTAACCTCCTCCCCCATCCCCCATGTGATAAAGAGAGAAGAGTCCCTAATTGGTAGGGTGCCCCAGGAACCTTCCTCTACTTTTTCCTACCCGCCATCTTTCCGTCAACAAAACCGACGGAAGACGACACAATCTTGGTCCCACCTTGGACCCTACCTAGATCAATCGTATCATGTGATTTTATTTTCTGTAAAATATATATATATATATCAATATACAACAACCCCTCGATCTATAGTCCCTTCACACAAATATACTTCATCTCATCTGTTTTAAAAAGGGTGTTTTTTTAAGAACCGTGACTCTATCCATTTTCCAATAAAAACACTTTTTTTTTTTTGTTTTGAAACTGAGAGAATATACACACACACATGTGTGTGTGTGTGTGTGAAGTGTGAACACAAATGATCGTAACGTTAAATTTTACTTTTATTTTCTGTGTCTACTAGAACTTACTCCCTCCGTCCCTTATTAGTAGTCCATTTTTTTCTTTTTACATGTTCCAAATTAAAGTCAAAGCATCTTTTCTTTATATTTTCATCATTATCTTTTATCTTTTTAAAATATATATTTAAATTAAAAAGAATAATTTAGTAATTTTAAAATGGGACAATGCATTAATTACATGTTTCCTTAAAAAGTTATAAAACCAAATATAGACAATTAATAAGGAACGGAGGTAATATACTCTTAAATAAGAGTTAAGAGAAACTACAATATTTTTTTTTTAAGTAGTAAAATAATAGAAAATGATATTTCAACCGAAGTATTTGACGCTTGTCCAGCTAGGCAATTTCTCTCACTAATCTCTCTTTGAAAATTTTTTATAGACTGTAAAGAACAATATAATCAAACAAATAAATACACATATTTTCCTTTCAAAAAAAAATTTACATATATGATACAATATATATAAATATATATGAATATGATATATGATATGAAGTTTAAAAATCAAAAGTTCTTTCTCTTTTTTTTTTGGGTAATTAAAAATTCTTTCTCCCTTCAAGTTAATAAATATTGTTTGAAGTGACGAAATGAAGAGGGAGAGATTTGATAACTATCAGAAGAGAATAACTTAGCTTAAAACTTAACAGTCTGGGAAAGATAAATTTGCGAACGTGTATATTGTTTCTTTTTTTATTTTTTTTCATTTTTTTAAGTGTTAAAGTTCATATGTATTTTGCCAAGCTAATCTGCAAAAATCATCGGCCCATCTATTACTACCCTAAAATAATATATATATATATATTTGAAAAACAAAAAATCCTTCTAAATAAACTTCAAATATGTGAAATTATCGACAAACACTCTTTATTTATTACGCAACCGTATAAGTTAAATAATTAAAAATATAATTCTATGAATTGTCAAAATTTTTGCTAGTACCATATATATATATATATATATATATATATAATATCAAGGGAACATGTTCATGAGGATGAGAATGAAAGTACCAAGTGTCTATTAATTGCACTACAAATTGTCAAATATTCAAACCTTACCCATATTTTTGTTCACACATACCCTGGAAAGACCGGAAATATATCTATAATTTGTACTATAATCTTGTAAAAAAATGACTACTAATATTCCAACTTACATTTTTGCTTTTTATAAAGCTATCTTCATCTTTTGATTTTGTCTACGTTAAATACTGCAAAAGTAAATTGACTATTCTGTGAAACTTTTGTCATCCCAAAATAGAACTTGCAATACATTGAACCTCTTTGTATATATTGTACTTTAGCATCCTCCAAATTGATAGATAAATTTGAGTCAATAAATCTCATTTTTATATCGCGTGAAATTGTTGGTAGAATCTGACATAAACCTAACTTAATTTAATTATTATTTGTACAAAGACACTAATTTATCTCATTAAGAAGATTCTATATGATTTTTATATTCGAAATGTAGCAAATACATGTTAAATACATTTTGCAAGTTTTTAATTTCTTTATAATGATGAATGATACATGAGTTATGGAGACGATTTATGATTTACGTGCTCTAAGAAAGATAAAATAATAATAATAAAATCATTTGAGCATTTGGTTATAGTAGTTGTCATTTGTTTGATTAGTTTTGTATCTTTAATTTATTCGCATATAAATAATACTTATTAAAAATAACTTGTTCATCTGTTATTGGTTCACATTAGCAAGTATGATAAAGTACATATTTATCAGTAAAAATCTAAGTATTATTCTTTTTATATATGTTCAAGGTTCTGATACCTTTACACATTTTTATAAACGGATTAATTTACACCGATATTCATCTGAATCCATTAACTATAAACCAAGATCATACATTATTTAATTATTTTGAACCCTTCAAAAGTAAAGAACAGTACAAAAGTTGAAAACATATATCATCATTGGATGTTTTTAGGTGAGACCCGTGTTAAGCCGAGTTAAAAGCATGCAACGGTACTGATACATTCGAATACAAATTTCTTCATTCGAATACAAATTCCGTAATTTCTATGTAGTCTGTACATTCTTGTACCGTTAATGATCGGTGTATTAAAAAATAGACCTAAATTAAACACTAATAAACGCCGTAAAACTAGCATACAGTTTCCATAGTATGTGAGGAACCTTAAATACCATGTCGGTGGCAAACGGTCACATACTGCTCACCTAGGACAAAAAGAAAACAGGCACCCCAATACTGAATAACAAACCTAAGACCACTTTGACCATAAATAAGAACAAAAAATAAATAAAATAAAAATCAGTGTATAAATTATACCCATGTGAATTTTTATCCATATTTTCCATATTTTGAACCTGAACTTCACGTTACAACCTTAAACAATTTGCAACATTAATTACTGTTCATTATCCACTATACAAGATTGGCTGACTCTTTACATACTTGCCAGGATGAGCATCTCGATATACTGCGTGTCTATATATATATATATATATTTATATGTACCTTAACATTAAACTTTGATAACTTGAGGTTTCAAATTGTTCAACTTTCACATTAAACTTTGATTGACTTGTGAAGCATAAAAACTATCATTATTAATATATAAATTGACTTGTCTAATAAATGATTTCATAGTTGAAGAATCAAGACAAAATCGTTTAGGTATCAGGATGCATGGGAACTATTAACCAATAATTTCGGTTCAGTGAAACCATATATTTAAGTGAATTGTCTAGTCGAGTAATATTTAATTGGCTACTTATAGTAAATAAAACTAAGTGAAGGGTTCGTTCAATTATTCATTAAAGATAAAAAAAAATAGGCTATGAACCATATAAGCTTCAAAAGTAAAAACAACATTATTTAAGTTAAAACCCTCTAAGAATTAACATGTTTAATTTATTCAAATTTTATATCATACATTGTTTTTCTACATTAACATATTGTATGTGGTAAATTAAAGTAAAATTACAGATTTCAATACTAGATGGTATAAAGGTTTTAAACTTCGACAGGATTGAAGTACTTCTCCTCTAATATTTTCTAAAAAAATTGGTAAAAATGCGAGAGAATTCGATGAACTAAAAATAAAATGTTATACTGCAGCCAGCCTGGCCCGCCATAGAATATATATATAGTTATTTTGTTTTTTTTAAGTATATATGAAAAATTATATATAATCCCTCTCTAAAATTTTAATTTCTAAAATTATTTTAACTTTTTTTTTCTTTTATTCTTTAAATTCCTTAAATTTTCTTTTAAAAAAAAATAAATTTTCCTTTTCGAATCATATATATATATATATATATTTCCTTTTATATTTATCTCAATTTTGTTTTCTTTGCTTTTTCCTTCTTTATGAATCCCATTGTTTAGAGGACATGGTGAACCCATAAACTACACGTGTGTCTCACATGGTTTTGAGCACACCGAATATGGCTGGCATTTTAGTAGTAACATCAATGAAAGGACAATTCCGTAATTAAGCTTCACATCAAGCCCATTGTCCTAGTTGTTGTTCCCTTTCACTTACACCGACCTGTCCATCTGTAAGCGAGTTAAAGAAGAAAGTGGTCTCCAACCAACGCCAACACCTCTCTTGGTCCACCTCTCTCTCTCCTTTATATCCTTCTAATCTACACTCTCACACTTCAGGGCTCAAAAACACAATCCTCTCAATTTGAGCTCCCTCCTCACTTCTCTCTCTATTTTTTCTCTCTAAGACCCCTCCACAATTCCTCCAATGGCGTCACCGCCGGACACGAGCAAGACCACTAAACTCGAGCGCTACAACAGTTACATCAGAAGAGTAAACAGCACCAAGCTATTGGCTGCTTCCTCCAAACTCCTCTTTCGCGCCACTCTGTTAGTCGCCCTGGTCTTGATTTTCTTCTTCACCATGAATTACCCGCCACTTTCTGACAACAACAACCACCAGCACCTCCACACCACCCACAATTTCCTATCCTCCGCCTTCTACGGCGGAGGCGCCAATTGGGAGAAGCAAGTTCGCCACTCCTCCACCCCGCGCCGCCCCAGCGGCTTCTCCGTCCTCGTTACCGGTGCCGCCGGCTTCGTCGGCACCCACTGCTCCATCGCCCTGAAAAAGCGCGGCGACGGCGTCCTCGGACTCGACAACTTCAACTCCTACTACGACCCGTCCCTGAAACGCGCTCGCCAGAAGGTTCTAGAAAAACACCAGATCTTCGTTGTGGAAGGCGACCTAAACGACGCCGAATTGCTCGGCAAGCTTTTCGACATTGTACCTTTCAGTCACATCCTTCACTTGGCTGCTCAGGCGGGTGTACGTTACGCTATGCAGAACCCCCAGTCCTACGTGAGCTCGAACATTGCTGGCTTCATTAACCTCCTCGAGGTCGCCAAATCGGCTGATCCTCAGCCGTCGATTGTGTGGGCCAGCTCGAGCTCCGTCTACGGACTCAATAAACAGAACCCGTTTTCCGAGCTCCACCGGACTGACCAACCCGCAAGTCTCTACGCAGCCACCAAGAAAGCTGGAGAGGAAATTGCCCATACTTACAATCATATTTACGGCCTTTCTCTCACGGGGCTCCGATTCTTCACGGTGTACGGCCCGTGGGGCAGACCCGACATGGCCTACTTTTTCTTCACCAAAGACATACTCCAAGGGAAGTCTATTAACATATACCAGACGCAGGACGATAAGGAGGTGGCGCGTGACTTCACGTACATTGACGACATCGTTAAAGGGTGTGTCGGGGCGCTGGACACGGCGGAGAAGAGCACTGGGAGTGGCGGGAAGAAGCGGGCGCCGGCACAGCTGAGGGTTTACAATCTGGGTAACACGTCGCCGGTGCCGGTGGGGAAGCTGGTGTCCATTTTGGAGAATTTGTTGAATGTGAAGGCGAAGAAGAACGTGATTCGGATGCCCCGAAACGGTGACGTTCCGTTCACGCACGCTAACGTGAGCCTGGCGTACAGAGACTTCGGGTACAAGCCCACCACCGACTTGGCAACCGGGTTGAGGAAGTTCGTGAAGTGGTACGTTAGTTATTATGGTATTGAATCGAGGGTAAAAAAGGAAATGGCTAGCACCAATAAACACTCCGATGATTCAGCATAATCACATCAACCACACATCACATGGGTATTTTTTATTTTTATTTTTATTTTTTCCACTAAAAAAAATTAAATTTCTGTTTTTAAGATATTATTATTATTATGTTGAATGGTCCTTTGTATTGTTGGATCAATTGCTGTTGTTGTAATATAGATATAGATTTTTATATACAACACATAAAAAGGGGAAGGAAGGAGGAAGGAGGAAGGAGGAAGGAGGAAGTGTAGATCTGTGAAGTTGGGATGTAATAATGTATTGTTGGGTGTAGAGGAACATGGTTGGATTTGCCAGAATGGATGCAGATCAACCGTTGGATTTGAAATAAATAAATAAATAAATAAAAAAAAAAACATTGTGACTGATTTGGACAACAATGATGACAGCAAGATTCTTCTCATTTTATGCCTTTCATTATTCATCAATTTATTTATTTTCTTGCTTTTTTGATTGGTCATAATCAGTTTTGCTTTATTGATTGATCACAAGTGGATGTGATGGAATTTTTTTCATTTGCTATTGAAGATGCCCTCATGAGTGAAGATGGGTAGGGCTGTCTCCAAACAGTGATTTTAGTAATCAAAACCTATAGAATTCAAAGTTGATCAGAGTTTGAAATAGGTAAAATTCATAAGCATATGCTACAAATAATTGATATTTAATAATTGTATAAGTGGACAAATAAAAGTTGAAAATAATATAAAAAGTAATCCAAAAGAAGTAATTAGATTGAAGAAGTAATTAGATTTAGGTTTTTCTCATTAAGATTTGGGAGGAAACTGAGGGTTTGTTTGGCTTGTAATTTTGAAAATAATTTTTTGTTTTTAGAGTAAATTAGATTTTTTTTAATTTTTTAAAAACTCAGTTATAAAAATTTTTGAAAACAATTTTATTATTATTATTATTTATTTTTTAGAGTAAATTCTGTTTTATTCAATTTTTTGAAAATTCAGTTATAAAAATACATGTTTTCAGAAAATAATTTATGCTTTCTAAATTTTGAAGAAGTGTTTTCAAAGTTATAAACCGAACCAGCCCTAAGAATTTGGATGTAATTATGTAAAATTCAAATAACTAATATCATCATCAATTTAATTTTTTAAAATTATTTCTAATTACTCTCTCTTGTAAGAGTGTCATCATGTTCTTTAAATAAAAATACCGGATTTATATATCAGTTATAAGCTTGTTTACTACTACGTAAATAAGTTTGAGTTCAAACAACTTGTAATCAAGAACTTGTTAACTCTTTTTTGTAATTTTATAAATTTTTAAACCTATTTATTCATAAACAAAATTATGAAGAAAATAGTTAAATACTAGGGAGTATGTGTTTTAGATACTATGGAATCATGAGATCAAATTAAGAACATAAATAAATGAATAAAATCACAAACAGTGAGAAACCCAAATTAATTATTAAATTAAAAATAATGAAGGAGAAATACAACTTGTAATAATGTGACAAAAGAATGAATGATTTAAAGTTTAACCAGAAGAGATTTGATTTAGGTATTCTAATCAATCTAATCACTAATTAACGACTTTAATAAGGAGAAGATATAAGGTGTGTTTGGCAGAGCACATGAATGATTTGACTATGTAGGGTCAAATCAAATTTGATTTGGAAAAAAATGTAGATTATTATTGCCATGACCAAACTGATAAGACATTGGAATTACCGAATTAGGCATGAATTTTAACCTTTATTTATTTAAATCATTTTTGTCAACTTCACAAGTCATCCTAGCAATTTTCTACCAATATAAAAAGAAAAGTATTGATTAGTATCTTCTATATAGAGAATTTGGAATTTCCCCCAAGTCAAAGGAGAGTTTTCAATTGATATAATTATATATAAAATTATTTTTCTATATATGTGCTGAAAATATGGCAAGCAACCGACAGAAATTTAGGACTAAATACCATAAGAATAACGCGTAAGAGAAAATTCAACAAACTTAGAAAAATAAAATAAAAAATATTATTAAATAATGTAAATAGAATGATCGATAAGTGTGTCTGAATTGTGTGATCAGCTACGACTTAAGGTTCTTGAATTTGCGAGGAATATATGGATGGTAGTATAAGTTTATTTTTTATTATTTATGTTTGGTTACATGAATATAAGTAATCTCTTTTAATTTTGTTTTTTAAAATTTTAAACAAATGAAGTAATTCCAATGACAAGTCAAATGATGGTTGGTGTGTTGTGAAAAGTTTAATGCATTTATAAGAATTCGATTCTGGAAATGAACTTAAATTCCTTTGTGATTTCTTAATTGATACATCCTCGTAATCTGGTATGATAGGACACTGTTTAATGAGCTTCTGTCTTGATTACTTGCATATTTTGAGTTTTGATCGTTCATTGGATTTAAAATTGAAAAATTTTAGTTTAGGAATTTAAGCATCTCGAATGTTTGTTTATATATGTGTGTGTGTGTGTGTCTATATATCTGTATTCAAATTTGATGTGCTATAGTAGCTAGATTTTTTTATAAAAAATTAGACTAATTATTTTTTGCTCCCGACCCCACATAATTTGTAGAGTTGATTACTTAACATATGGTTAATAAAATAAAAAAGACCAAGAGCCTCGTGGCCCAGTGACCGGCATTTCATCTACCTTTTAAAGTTAATGGTGAAGGTTTGAATTTCTAAATGAGCAAAGTTGATATAGATGAGAAAGATGGAGGTGAAAAAAATATATGCTGATGTGACTGTATAAAATGATTGTATTGGACTAAAAATACTACTTTCATTTAATAATAGGGTACGCAAAGTTGATATAGATGAGAAAGATGGAGGTGAAAAAAATATATGCTGATGTAACTGTATAAAATGATTGTATTGGACTAAAAATACTACTTTCATTTAATAATAGGGTACATTTCGAAGTTTAGTCGAGTTTATGTTTTCAGTACTGTTACTCTCGACTAGGTTTATTTGTTTTTTTTAATTTTTTTTGGCTATTGCAATCATCAATGTTTAACAAAAAGCTATTAATTAGTGATAGATAAAATATATTTCTCTTATTTCATAGTGTACACATTTATCTCATTTTAAAGTGTTCAAATCAACAACAGACACATAGTCGATATTAATACTAATTTAGAGTTTTTAAAAAAAAATCATTTTCGTTATGATTTAGACAATATTCATACACACAAGGACAAAAATTAATTAATTAATTAACTCTTTCAAAGTTGCTGCTACTCACCATTTTGGGGAAAAGTTGGACATAAATTGTAACAAATGGTGATGGCAAAGACAAAAGTATATGATACTGTGACAACAATTCTCATTAAAAAAAAAAAAAAAAAAAAAAAAAAAAAAAACCAATACTTTGAAATTTGTGGAATTTGAAAAATAATAATAATACAAATATTTCATTTTAGGCTACTCTTGAAAATCCAAGAAAGTGAAAGCATAGAGTTTATGTATATTTATCTAAATGGTTATATGGTGTGTTCGGTTGTATAAAATTAGAGATTTATAATTGAAATTTTTGAAATTTGAAAAAAAAATAAATAAGAAAATTGAACTAAATTTTTTTCAAATTCCATACATTTCAATTCTAAGACTCAAATTTCAAGACTCTAATTTCATACAGCCAAAAATACCTATAAAAAAATGCATTATATACAACGTCGAATTGCTATGCAGTTATAAGAGGCATGTGAAAGTTATAGACCAAACATGTCTAGAAGTTCAATTTTGCATATATAAAAAATTCATTATATACAGTATCTATTAGAATGTTCTGCTCTCTATGGCATGTGAAAGTTATAGACCAAACATGTCTAGAAGTTCAATTTTGCATGTACAAAAAATTCATTATATACAGTATCTATTAGAATGTTCTGCTCTCTATGGCATGTGAAAGTTATAGACCAAACATGTCTAGAAGTTCATTTTTACAAAAGCATGCATATAAAGATAAAGAGACAATTATGCATGAGAAGGAAAATATTGAAAATAAAATTAATTTTTATACTTCTTAATTTGTACAAAATAACTGATCTCCTACTTTAATAAATTACGGTTTAAAATAAAATCGACCCTAAATAATTGAGAAAAAAACTTGTTATCGTTGTTGTATCGTTTTCACTTTTAAAATGAAATATAAGCAATGCACTAAGCAATGACCCCAGTACATAACATGCCATAAAATGTGGTTAGAGCATCAGTACCTAGACATGATTCTTAGTTGATCGATATATATATATATATATATATATATGATGTCATTTTGATTCCCTTTGTGCATTTTTAGAAACATTACATGTTTAGAGGACATATATCTGTTTGTCCGTTATTAAACATTGAATAAAGGATGTTATATTCGTGTCTCTTCATGCTTTCTAATTTTCAAATCATGTAATGATATTGCTTACATGCATTACCTCCATTAATTATTAAAGTCCATGAAGACTATCTGTGTCCACTTCTTTTTATTTCATTTTTATTTTTTTATAAATTGTTGGACCCCATCTAATTACATTGGACTCATTCTAATTCTGATATATATATATATAACCAAATTGATCATTTTGTATATTTTTTTTCTTCTGAATTTTTCATGACCTTCTTGATATAAGATGTTGGATTTTTTTTTAGCCAATAGAGTAGAACATTCTTTCTACTTATTTATTTATTTTTTGTCTAAAGTCAATACTTTTAAGTATTTTTTTATCGAACATTCTGTCCACTTATTTATTTATTTGGTGCCTAAAGTCAATATTTTTATAGAACATTCTGCCCACTTATTTATAATTTTTTTTCCTAAATTTCAATCAATTAAATAATTTTTATTGTATTTTCTATGCTTATATATCATAATTAGGTAATGCATTTGGATGACCAGAAGGTCTTCATAAGGCCTTTTTTTTTTTTTTTTTTCATTTCAGTTTAATTGTGCTCTTATGTATGAATAATCTCTCCATTTATTTCATAATATATTTTTTAATTTATGTATGTTGTCAAATTGTCAATGCTAATTTAATATAGAGTCTTCATCATGCATATGTACAACTACAAATGTGATTATGCATTCATTTGAGTTCATATATTAATATTAAATTGAGTTCCTATTTACATTTTTGATAATACATATCATATGTATACATATATATATAATTATATAGTGATAAGGGCATGAGTCAGGAAAAAAAAATGGTGATAAGGGCATGATTGGAAGGCACATCCATGTGGCATTAATGTAATCTGACTATCCCATACAAATAAATATATATATATATATATATATATATATATATATATATATATATATCTCATCTTGTCTTTCTTATTCTTTTACTATTATTGTGGTTTTGCATCATTCTTTGGAACATGTCTTAGGAATATCATAAAT